GTGATGGATTGTGTACAATTTGGTGTCAGAATGGTATATGTTTATACTTCTCATCCAACTACAATTAAATTCACTTTACAGGAGACACAATTTATCAGGATAGGATTTTTTAGCAATAATGAGCTGAAATGAAACAGGAGTAACGACTTTCTTTACTTAACTTGTTTAAAAATGTAAGAAGTAGAAAGTACAGATAATTGTGTGAAAATGTAAGGAGTAGAAGTAAAATGTAATTACTCAAGTAAAGCACAGATAACCAAAATTTCTACTTAAGTATAGTAACAAAGTATTTGTACTTACTTTCCAATCTTTWTGTTTTTTCACCGTCTCTCCTCCCTTTTTGTTTTTAAGCCTTGTTTACGTCCACAACCCACATCTGGATGCCCTAAAAGAGGACTTCCTGTACCACTTCAGTCTTGGAACTGGAACTCACAACCTGCCAGAGATGTTTGGTGACGTCAAAGTAATAACTTTCTTTTTTTTAAATATATATTATGTTTTAAGATTTAAGGAAACTGTTAATTTTGTGGCCAAAATTAGGTGTGGCAGTGTTTGTGAGTCATTCTCAACATATGATTTGAGCGCAATACGAATTGCGCCACGCTTTTTCTTAAAACTTGGGCATTTCCTGTTTGAGTCAATCCTGCCTGTGAGCCAACAACTTTTCCATGAGCTAAGAGAGAGATTTTAATCAAAGTAACCACAGGATGTGCATCTACAATGGATTCACTTCTCATTTTAAGATGGCTGCCACTGCTAGTCCACTTTAGCTCATAATTCGTCACATTTACAGATGTTGAGCTGATTAMTGTGGTTGTTGAGAGTCTTTCACAAAACAAACTGAGTTCTAACAGCAGTTTCATGTAAGATCCTGCATCACTTTTAAGGTTCGACGTGTCTCTGTGTGTGCTTTGACTCCAGTTTGTTTGTGTTGGGGGCAGTCCCTGGAGGATGAAATCGTTCATTGAGTACATCTCTGCCGAGCTCAACCTGGAAGATCCCAGTTCAGATTACCCAAACATCTGTGCTGGGACGGATCGGTACGCCATGTACAAAGCTGGCCCCGTACTCTCTGTGAGCGTACGTAAGAACACGATTTCAGCTTCTGTCTCCCTCCTGTGACGGTGTCTCACTTGTAATCTGTGACTAACTYGTGTGTTTGGTTTTTAACAGCATGGGATGGGCATCCCGTCTATTGCCATAATGTTGCACGAGCTCATAAAACTACTCCATTACGCGCGATGTACGGACGTTACAATTATCCGTATTGGGACATCTGGGGGAATAGGTACAATCATTTATTTACCTGTTTACATCTTGCAACAGTGGCGGGAAAAATATGGCAACACTTTGAATTTAATTGTTTTAAAACATTGATGGGACTGATGAGAAATGTAAAGAGTGAATAAGTGAGGTTTGAAAGGACTGCCAGGAGAAAGAGTAAAGTGTTGTGGCATTTTGTAAAAAAAAAGAGTGGGCCACACAGTGTTGTATAAAGTACCACAAAGTGATACTTGAGTAAAAGTACAAGTATCTTACCAATAAATTACTTTAGTAAAAGTTAAAGTCTCCTTTAGGAATATTACTTGAGTAAAAGTCTTAAAGTATCTG